TATTGTACTCGTTATAATCCCTCAAAAGTTGTCTTATACGGTCATTGCAATCGTTCCGGAATCAACTGTATGCATGTCAGATGTGAGACTGTAGAGTTCCAGTGTGAACATAGTCGATGTCGAACTTTCATGTTCTGCAAGTTGTGAGCGTTATACCCGCTTAGAAGTCGACTCATATGGGCATTGCGAACTCGTCTGCTTCAATAGTATCTATGTGAGATGATAGGATAGAGAGATAGAGTGTACACTTTGATGAAGTCGATGTATCTCCATCTGCCTATTGTACTTTTCGTATACTCTCCAAAGTCATCTTACATGGTCACTGCGATCATATCTGCTCCAACTGTATGCATGTCAGAAGCTAGACTGCAGAGTTTATGTGTTAACATAGTCGTAGTCGAAGTTTCTTGTTCTGCGAGTTGTCAAGTTGTGTGCGTTATACCCGCTCAGAAGTCGTCTTATATGGACATTGAGAACTCGTCTGCTCCAATAGTATCCATGTAAAATGATAGGATAGAGAGATAGAATATGCACACCGAAGAAGTCTACATTTGCCTATCGTTACCGTTATATACCCTCCGAAAACGTCTTATACGGTCACTGCCATCAAATCTGCTTCAACTTTATAAATGACAGATGCTAGACTGCAGAGTTACAGTGTAAACATACCCAAAGTCGAAATTTCTTGTTCTGCAAGCTGTGTGCGTTATCATCGCTTGGAAGTCGTCTTATACGGTCAATGCAAACTTGTCTGCTTCAATAGTGTTCATGTTAGGTGATAGGATAGAGATATATAGTGTGTACGACGATGAAGTCAATGTATCCCCATTTGCCTATTGTACTCGTTATATACCCTTCAAAGTCGTCTCATACGGTCACTGTCATCGAATCTGCTTCAACTGTATGCATGTCAGATGATAGACTGCAGAGTTACAGTGTTAACATAGTCATAGTCGAAGTTTCTTGTTTTGCAAACTGTATGCTTCATTTCCGCTTGAAAGTCGTCTTATATGGTGAATGCAAACTTGTCTGCTTCAATAGTGTCAATGTTAGATAATAGGATAGAGAGATATAGTGTGCAAAACGATGAAGTCGATGTATCTTCGTTAGCCTATTGTACTCGTTATTAACCCTTCAAAAACGTATTATACGGTCACTGCCATCGTATCTGCTTCAACTGTATGTATGTCAGATGCTAGACTGCAGAGTTACAGTGTGAACATAGTCGAAGTCGAAGTTTCTTGTTCTGCGAACTGTATGCATTATTCCCGCTTGGAAGTCGTTTCATATGGTCACTGCAAACTTGTCTGCTTCGATAGTGTCGATGTGGGATGATAAAATGGAGAGATATAGTGTGCAAAATGAAGAAGTCGATGTATCTTAGTTTGCCTATTGTACTCGTTATATACCCTTCAAAAACGTATTATACGGTCACTGCCATCGTATCTGCTTCAACTGTATGTATGTCAGATGCTAGACTGCAGAGTTACAGTGTGAACATAGTCGATGTCGAAGTTCCTTGTTCTGCGAACTGTATGCATTATTTTCGCTTGGAAGTCGTTTCATATGGTCACTGCGAACTTGTCTGCTTTAATAGTGTCGATGTGAGATGATAAAATAGAGAGATATAGTGTGCAAAACGATGAAGTCGATGTATCTTAGTTTGCCTATTGTACTCGTTATATACCCTATAGAGTCGTCTTATACGGTCACTGCCATCGTATCTGCTTCGATTGTATGCATGTCAGATGCTAGACTGCAGAGTTACAGTGTAAACATAGTCGAAGTAAAAGTTTATTGTTCTGCAAACTGTATGCGTTATACCCGGTTAGGAGTCGTCTTATATGGTCGATGCGAACTTTTTTGCTTCAATAGTGCCCATGTTAGATGATAGGGTAGAGAGATATAGTGTGCACGACGATGAAGTCGATGTATCTTCATTTCCCTATTGTTCTCGTTCGTCTTATACGGTCACTGCAATGGTATCTGCTTCAACTGTATGCATATCAGAAGCTAGACTGCAGAGTTTATGTGTGAACATAGTCGTAGTCGAAGTTTCTTGTTCTGCATCTTTCTATATACCCTTCAAAGTCGTCTTATACGGTCACTGTCATAGTATCTGCTTCAACTCCCATATAGCACGAGTACGTCCCCAAAACGTCAGAACGTCAGGCCAAGACGTTTCGTACGTACTGGGGACGTCCAGTTTTGGTACGGTCGCCGTTCAGGTACGTACTGGGGACGTCCAGATTCCGCGCGTTTGTACATCCTCAGTACGTCCATTTCAGGACCATGGATACATGAATCAACGTAGATACGCTTCTTTTCACTCAGATAGTCAAAAAAGAGATTTTGATAAAGTAGAAAGTTTTATTTTGAATGAAAAAAATAAAAAAAAAAAACGTTTCTACCGGGGGATCGATCCCACGACCTTTAGATCACCAGGCAGAAGCTCAACCCATTACTCTGAAGAACACTTGTTGATTGACAGTATACAACAAGCAATATTATGTGCAAATGCCGATTGACTCATCACATCGATACTATTATAGAATTAGATAATCACGGCAGAGAATACCTAAATACATGTTTTGTGATCTGGTGGGGCAAATAAATAATGAATTTGTTGTGATCATTGTATTAGGTTTATGTTTGCAAGGTTCCTATATGAATATAGATTTCAGAGATCGAGGGTAGAAATTATATATGCAATGATTTCGATTATCATTAAACAATTCATTCAATCCCGTAAACAAAAAGTCGATAACGTCCAGAGTTGGACGTACCCAGTACATCGGAATCGTACGTACCCAGAACGTCCAGAAATGGACGTTCTCAGTACGTCTTGAAAAGGTCCCGGACGTTCAGACCTAAATGGGACCTAAACTGAATGTCCACAGGACGTCGAGTGCTATATGGGCTGTATGCATGTCAGATGCTGGACTGCAGAGTTACAGTTTGAACATTGTCAAAGTCGGAGTTTCTTGTTCTGCAAGCTCTGTGCGTTAAGACCGCCTGGGAGTCGTCTTGTATGGTCAAGTCGAATTCGTTTGCTTCAATAGTGTCAATTTAAGATGATAAGATAGAGAGATTTAGTGTGCACAACGATGAAGTTGATGTATCTTCATTTGCCCATTGTACCCATTTATAACCCTTTCAATGTCGTCTTATACGGTCACTGCAATCGTATATGCTTCAACTGTATGCATGTCAGACGCTAGACTGCTGAGTTACAGTATTAACATAGTCAAAGTCGAAGTTTCTTGTTTTGCAAGCTGTGTGCGTTATACCCGTTTGGCAGTAGTCTTATATGTTCAATGTGAACTTGTCCGCTTCAATAGTGTCTATGTGGGATGATAGGATGGAGAGATATAGTGTGCACAACGATAAAGTCGATGTATCTTCATTTGCCTATTGTAAGCGTTATAATCCCTCCAAAGTCGTCTTATACGGTCATTGCAATCGTTCCTGCATCAACTGTATGCATGTCAGATGCTAGACTGCGGAGTTACAGTGTGAACATAGTCGATGTCGAAGTTCCCTGTTCTGCAAGATGTGAGCGTTATACCCGCTCAGAAGTCGTCTTATATGGGCATTGCGAACTCGTCTGCTCCAATAGAATCCATGTGAGATGATAGGATAGAGAGATAGAGTGTGCACTATGATGAAGTCGATGTATCTTTATCTGCCTATTGTACTTTCTATATACCCTTCAAAGTCGTCTCATATGGTCAATGCTCATATCTGCTTTAACTGTATGCATGTCAGAAGCTAGACTGCAGAGTTAATGTGTTAACATAGTCGTAGTCAGAGTTTCTTGGTCTGCAAGTTGTGTGCGTTATACCCGCTCAGAAGTCGTCTCATATGGGCATTGCGAACTCGTTTGCTTCAATAGTATCCATGTCAGATGATAGGATAGAGATAGAGTGTGCACACCGATGAAGTCGATGTTACTTCATTTGCCTATTGAACTCGTTATATACCCTTCAGAGTCATCTTATACGGTCACTGCCATCGTATTTGCTTCAACTGTATGCATGTCAGATGCTAGACTGCAGAGTTACAGTGTTAACATAGTCATATTCGAAGTTCCTTATTCTGCAAACTGTATGCGTTATTTCCGCCTGGAAGTCGTCTTATATGGTTACTGCAATCGTATCTGTTTCAACTGTATGCATATTAGATGCTAGACGGCAGAGTTACAGTATAAACAAATTCGAAGTCAAAGTTACTTGTTGTGCGAGTTGTGTGCGTTATACCCGCTTATGAGTCGTCTCATATGGGCATTGCAAACTCGTCTGCTTCAATTGTATCCATGTGAGATGATAGGATAGAGAGATAGAGTGTGCATACCGATGGAGTCGATGTATCTTCATCTGCCTATTGTACTTGTTATATACCCTCCGGAGTCGTCTTATATGGTCACTGCGATCATATCTGCTTCAACTGTATGCATGTCAGATGCTAGACTGCAGAGTTATGATGTAAACATAGTCGAAGTCGATGTTTCTTGTTCTGCAAGCTGTGTGCGTTATACCCGTTAGGCAGTCGTCATATATGGTCAATGCGAACTTGTTTGCTTCAATAGTGTCCATGTGAGATAATAGGATAGAGAGATATAGTGTGTACGACGATGAAGTCGATGTATCCCCATTTGCCTGTTGTACTCGTTATATACCCTTCAGAGTCGTCTTATACGGTCACTGCCATCGTATCTGCTTCAATTAAATGCATGTCAGATTCAAGACTGCAGAGTTACAGTGTAAACATAGTCAAAGTCGAAGTTTCTTGTTCTGCAAGCTGTGTGCGTTATACTCGCTTAGAACTCGTCTTATATGGTCACTGCATTCGTATCTGCTTCAACTGTATGCATGTTAGATGCTGAACGGCAGAGTTACAGTATAAACAGAGTCGAAGTGAAAGTTTCTCGTTGTGCAAGTTGTGTGCGTTATACCCGCTTGGAAGTCGTCTCATATAAAATAAAATGGCTAGCAGCGAGTAAACATAGCTATTGCGAGCTCCATGTTTACAGTCGAAAAAAGGTGGTTAAACTTGGGCCAAAATTAACAAAATCAATTCAGCAATTCTGTTATATGCTAACCTAACAGTGGTTCAATATTTGGATTGATTACGATGGTGATTACGAGAGAAATCAGGGAAGAAATCAAAAATTCTGTGCGTACAACTATCCATTCTATTCTAAGCGAGGAGAATTTCATTGAACAAATTGTACAAAAAGTATCGGACAGTGTAGCAAAAACAGTTGGTATAAAAATCGCTGGAATCGAGAAGAAAATAAGTGAAATGAACAAGAAATTTGCAGTTGATAGTACAGTCATCAAGGAGCTGAAAGAAGAAACGTCTTTGCTTGAATCAGAAAATGAATATCTCTCACTAAAATACGATGAGATTGATCAAAGAGCTAGGTCGCAAAATTTGAGAATTTTCGAATTAAATGAGAGACAACAGGAAAATCTATCAGAAATTGTAGTCGAACTTTTCGAGTCACGTTTGGCTATAAAAATAACAAAGGAAGATATACTTATGTGTACCAGAGTTGAAAAAATACAAGCCGATCGGCCGAGGTGTATCCTGCTGAATTTGAACAGTTCAAGTATGAAGCAGAGAATCTTCAGTAAGAAGAAGATGTTCAAAGGAATGAGTATAGTGTTGAAAGAAGACTTAACAGAAAACAGACTGGAACTCATGAAGGCGGCCATCGAAAAGACATCTCTTAGAAGTGTATGGTCTCATGATGGAAACAATTACGCAATGAAGGATAGCAAAAGAATTGCTATCAAAACTAAGTAGGATCTAAATAAGCTATAATCAACCAGTTTTTCCTCCCTTTCTATCTATGTATATTATTGATGGAAAATAGGGGCTACGCATACGTTATGTTATCCAACGTTGTTTTTTTTCTCTCTTTCTATTTTTATAGACTTTTTTTTCCTTTTTTCTCTACTTTGAATTTTCTTATAGGATGCGAATACATTTTTTCTTTGCTAAATTTACATTGAGTAATTATATATAATTTATAAATATACTACTTATTATTATTTTATCGCATACATTAACTAGACTATTAGTGTTGTATTAGACCTCCTCCAATTTACTTATAATATTAACTGTTTATCACATAAAATGATGAATGGAATGAGAATTGGGCATTTTGATATTAGATCTATTTTCACAGGGTTCCATGATTTCAAGCAACTTGTCTTAGATAACAACTTTAATATTATGTTACTGTCTGAGACATGGTTGAGTTCAGAAAATGAATCTAATATTATTAATATTCCTGGGTATAAATTTTTCCGTAAAGATAGGATCGGAAGGGGTGGGGGAGTTGGGGCATATGTCAAAATATCTGTGTCTTGCGTAATCTTACGCGTTGACTTGATTATGAAAAGTACTGTTGAATATTTATTGCTAAAAATCAAAAACCGTCAGCACAGCTTTATTGTTGGTGTTTTTTATAGACCGCCTAGTGCTATACTGGGTGACGTGATAGAAGATATTGATAATATTTTGTCCATGATCGATTGGATAACTTGTTTAGGAGACTTCAATGTCGATTATTTCAATTCACATAATCCGCTCATGCATTGCTTCGGATCATTCGGTTTCTTACAAATAATCAATGTTGCAACAAGAACTACTGCCACTTCTAGAACATTACTTGATGTTATTCTGGTGTCGGACACTGATCTAGTTAACAAATTTAATACTTTGCCTGTACATGGAGTTTCTGACCATGATTTGACATTTCTAGAAGTGGATATCCCTACTCTGCACAACAAACCCAGACTCATCACATATAGGTGCTTTCGTCACTTCAGTGTACAAAATCTTTCAGATGATCTTCATGAGCTTCCATGGCACAATGTCATTGCTGATAATAATCTCGACAAGAAAATTGAACTTTTCAATAAGTATATTATCTCTGCATTTGATGATAATGCTCCTTTTGTTCAAAGGAAAGTAACGAAACAACATGCGCCTTGGCTGTCAGATAATCTTGTCATTTTAAATAGTGAGAGGGATAAAGCACTAAAGAAATTCCAAAAAACAAAAGTAGAAGCAGATTCCAAGAGGTACAAAGAACTAAGTAATCAAACACTTTCAGTGACCAGAAGTGAAAAGAGGGCTTATCTTAATCGTGTTTTTTAAATGAAAGACTCTAAAACATCCAGGAAAACCCTGAGAAACTTAAGTGTTTGTTCCAGCCCAAAAAATTCAATTCCTGCACATTTATCGGACCCTAATAATTTAAACAGCTTTTTCTCTACCTATCGGCAAAATGTATCTAGTGATTGTGATGAAAAAATAAATTTTTATAGCAATTCAGTTCACGATCCACAATCTGAGTTTTCATTTAAGTTGATAACTATCGAAGAGGTAAACAAAATTTTGCATAATATTCGAACGAATGCTTTTGGATCGGATGGTATAAACGCGGAAATGCTGAAATATTGCAGTCCCTTCATAGATAAATATATTGTTCATATAATCAATTGTTGGATTGAGGAATCGTACTTCCCTGTCATCTGGAAGAGCTCTGTTGGCATTCCAATACCAAAAAAAAATTCACCGAAAGATTTTTCTGACTTGAGAATCGTAAGCTTACTTCCTGCTCTATCCAAAATCTTCGGAAAATGTTTGTTTGCTCAAATTCATGATTACTTTACATTGAAAAATTTACTTCCAGATTGTCAATGTGGTTTTAGACCAGGGAGAAATACTGAAACATCTTTAGCAACAGTCACTACTGATATTATAACAGTTCATGATCAAGGTTTATGTAGTGCTTTGGTATTACTCGATTTCTCTAAAGCATTCGATACCATTAGCCATGAACTGCTTGGTGCTAAATTGAGATTTTGTGGCTTCAATGACAAATCAATTTTTTTAATATGGAACTACTTCCTCAGACGTTCCCAGAAAATTTTGGTTGATGGTTCTTACTCATCTGAACTTGATATTCTTTCAGGTGTCCCGCAAGGGTCCATACTGGGTCCTTTACTTTTTATTATATATACCGCCGATATTTTGAATGAAATAGAACAATGTGAAGTACAGGCATTCGCTGATGATACTCAGCTATATCTAAACTTTCGGACTGAAGATTTCGCCTTTGTAGGAGAAATCATGAACAGTGAATTGAATAGAATTAAGACATCTTCATATGAACACAACTTGAAACTCAATTCTGAAGAATCCAAGGTACTATATTTCGGTAGAAAAATTAATATAAACTTCTTGAAGAATAGTCTCAACCTACATATTGATAATACCCCATTACAAGTCTGTGATTCAGCAAGAAATCTTGGTTTAGTACATGCGGTTTGCCCAGCATATAAAAAATCTTGTTGGTAGAGCTTTCGCATCCTTAAAACTCATTTACAGTAATCGACATATTCTTAGTGTTAAAATGAAACGAACTTTGTGTGAGTCACTCGTTTTGAGTCACTTCAACTATTGCGACTTTCTTTACGGTCCTAGCTTGACGAAAACTGATGAATATAGAATACAAAAAGTCCAAAATAGCTGCTGTAGACTGATCTATGGTATCAGAAAATATGATCATATTTCACATAAACTGAGAGAATGCAACTGGCTTAATATGAACAATAGAAGACAGCTCCACATAGGTACCTTTACTCACAAACCTCCCAATCCTCCAGCTCTGGCGAGCAAATTTGTTCCTAGATTCAGAATACACTCAAAAAATATTAGGCAGAGAACCATCTTGACCATGCCTCAACACAAAAATACATATTTTCAAAGATGTTTTGTCTTCAATGCTATTCAAACCTATAATATTTTACCTGACGAATTCAAAATTCATAATATTAATAAGTTCGAATATAAATTGAAGAAGCATTTACTCGATAGGCAGTCTTGATATTATTTTTAGTACATTCTTCATGTCCTAAATTTATTATCATTCGAAACTCTATTATTCGTAATGTTATAGTAATTAATAAGTAGGCACCCATTATGCATTATGTATTGCATTTCATTATTTTATAATTTTTTTTTCTTGTTATATTTTTTGTTGTTGTTGATTACCTTCCTTGCTGTCTCAGCCAATTTGCTGAAGCCATTTCGATCTTATTTGGGCATGTAGCCCTCTGTTGGTTAAGTGGAATAGCTTTGAGCTAGACTTCGCCAACAGTCTATGTAAGATTTATTTTTTTCATGTACACCACATATGACAATAAAAGGCTTTCATTATTATTATTATTATTATTATTTGAATTTATGTAATTCCAGTCACGACCCTGCAGCCTCCGACGTCACGCAGAGTTGTGCTGGATAAAATCCAGTGACTACTCCTCACAGCCTGTGAGGTGAGTAATCACTGGGACCAAGTACCGTGTGCCCTGAGTAGACGCAATGATCCCAGTATGACGGCCTTCTGCATTCCACCAGCCAGGATGTGTGCCTTATCACGGCACGCTGGGATTTTCTGGATCTCCGAGAGCAGCGTGTGTCGTGTGCCTCCTAGGGAGCCGATAATCAGGATGACCAATTCCACAGAATGGTCTGGATAGAGCCGGCGGAGTTCGAAGAGAAGATCTCGATATTTAGTCCGTTTTTCCTCCTCCTTCAAAACGATGTTCGGTTCGGCTGGCGCCGAAAACTCGATCACGAACATCGCTTTGGTTTGATGGTCGAGGAGGACTACATCAGGCTTCTTAGCTTGAATTTGCCTGAGGGTGGGGAATGAGAAGTTCCAATAAATTCGGCACCTCTCATTCTCCACAACGGACTCAATATCCCCCGGAGCATAGGGCAGCATTGGGGTCTCGTCTATCGTCTATCGTTATTATTATTATTATTATGATTATTATTATTATTATTATTATCATTATTATTATTATTATTATTATTATTATTATTATTTTAGTTCATATAATTCCAGTCACGACCCTGCGGCCTCCGACGTCACGCAGAGTTGTGCTGGATAAAATCTAGTGACTACTCCTCACAGCCTGTGAGGTGAGTAATCACTGGGACCAAGTACCGTGTGCCCTGAGTAGACGCAATGATCCCAGTATGACGGCCTTCTGCATTCCACCAGCCAGGATGTGTGCCTTATCACGGCACGCTGGGATTTTCTGGATCTCCGAGAGCAGCGTGTGTCGTGTGCCTCCTAGGGAGCCGATAATCAGGATGACCAATTCCACAGAATGGTCTGGATAGAGCCGGCGGAGTTCGAAGAGAAGATCTCGATATTTAGTCCGTTTTTCCTCCTCCTTCAAAACGATGTTCGGTTCGGCTGGCGCCGAAAACTCGATCACGAACATCGCTTTGGTTTGATGGTCGAGGAGGACTACATCAGGCTTGTTAGCTTGAATTTGCCTGAGGGTGGGGAATGAGAAGTTCCAATAAATTCGGCACCTCTCATTCTCCACAACGGACTCAATATCCCCCGGAGCATAGGGCAGCACTGGGGTCTCGTCTATTCCGTACGAGTGCCTCAAATAGTAGTAGAGCACTCGCAATGCCGCATTGTGTCTATGGATATAGGCCGAGGCTGCATACACCGTGCAAGAAGACAGCAGGTGCATAATTGTCTCGGGCGCCCTGCGGCAGGCCCTGCAACTTGTGTCAGGGACCTCCATACCCATGACACGGCTACGGTAGACGAGAGTGTTAAAAACCCCATCCTGGCATGCCATGATGAACTCCTCTGTTTCCGATTTGAGCCCGCCTGACTTCAGAAAAGCAAAAGTCAGTTCTTTGGATAAGCCCCGGTCTTCAATGGTCTTGAAGTAGACCGAATGCATGGGCTTATCCATGTGAAGCTGCAGGAGCTTTCTCACTTCTGCAGCTTTGATGCGGGCCTTC